CGTCTGCACCTCCCTCTCTCCAGGGAGAGCCGACGGCTCTTCTGGTGCAAGGGGGGATGGCTTAAGCAAATCTAGCTCTAGGTAATTTGCCAGCCAGGGCTAAGGAGCACGGATCCGACGGTTTGGAGTGGCGCATTGAAAGAACAGCACGCGGTCTGGCTGCCGCTCTCTTGTTCCTCCCGAGGCTGAGCCGTGCCCGGCCAGTGCAGGACAAAGGGGGCGCTTTTAGCCTCTGTAAATGGCCTATTGTGCCAGGGGAGGAGGTGGAGCAAGGAATGGCAGCATCTTGCCAGCTTGGCTTGCTGTTTTCAGCAAAGATGTCAGGATTTCTCCAATGGCTGCCGCCGGGGCAAGGGTGCTACTTATGTGGGTTTGTTTGAGGGCTTCACTCCAAGTGAAGTTTTCTTTCAAACCACTAGTACTCAGCTGGACGAAAGCTTGAGGGGCTTCAGAAGGAGACAAACACCCAAACCACCCGGTTTTTTGGTTTGTACATGGCATGAAGAACATACAATGCTCATGTAAGTATGAGTTTGCAGAATTGCAGGAGCTGTGTGTGTGCGTGTCCGTGTGTGTCCCTGTGTCCTTAGAGAATGATGCCCTTGTGGGTCACCTCTGGCCTGGACCACTTTTTTCCTGGTGCCCACAGAATGGTAAAAGGGGAACTTTTGTGCACAGTGGACCTGGAACCCACATGCTCAGAGGTCGGGTGAGGGGTAAAGGCTAGTGGTGACGTAAGGAGGGGAGAGTTGGGTGGACTTCAGACGCCAGTTCTGATACCGGGGAGTGAGTGCTGGGAGGCCCTTAGAAGCCACCTGCTCCTGCAGGTCCAGGTCCCTAACCTGGGTGGGCTGAAGGGGACGGTGAGCCCATTTGCAAGGAAGTGTGTGGTGGTTCTTAGTGGTAAGGGCCAGCGGTCCCTCCAGAGGGTCAGAATTGTCCGTGTGGAGGAAACGCACGGATTTAGGGTCAGATTGGTGTCCCGATCTTGGGAGACACCTGGGGGAAGCTTTCTAAGTCTCCAGCCTTGATCTCCCCATCATCGTTTTGTATTTGGTGTTCAGCTGAGACACCGGATGTGAACGCTTTCTGAACACCAGATCGATGCTCATTATGTCATTAGCTGCCTTTCTCCAAGTCTGGGCAGCTGGGAAGCAGGCTTCCTGCTCTCCGCCGGCCATGCAGCCGCTTCTGCTCCCTGCCCCGTGCGTCTGCTGCTCTCGGGTCTATTTAAGGGCGGCCTGCGCGCTGTGCTCTGCACTGACTGGGCTTCTGCCAGGTTCCCCTGACCCTTGCCACGTTCCCAGTCAGTCTGTGGTTTTAGACTCCAGCTTCTTCATAGGAAATTCAAACTGAGCAAATCCTCTTTTTGTGGGTGCGGAGAGGAAGTCTCCTGTGTTCCAGCCGAGAAATACTGGCTACTGTCTGCATAAGCCTTCAAGCCAACTGAGTCTTCTTAGCGACAACAGCAGGATCATCTGCCTGGGCTATATACTTCCCCAGATGATGGCATGCAGATCTGCTTTCGAAAGAATTTTTAAAAGATTCCAACCAGAACAGCATTTGGAGTAAGAACTAATTCTGAGTTTTAACCATAGGTTGGCAAGTTCATGAGTCTTGATACTTCTTCGAGACCAATTGTTGATTGAGACGGTCCTAAAGCATGTTCACCTACAGCAGTGGTTCTCAACCTTGGCTGCACATTAGAATCACCTGGGAATCTTTTTAAAATCCTGATTTCTGGGCCTCATCCTCCGGAAATTCTGTTTCTTTGTTACTAATGATGAGGCCCAGAAATCAGGATTTTAAAAAGATTCCCAGGTGATTCTAATGTGCAGCCAAGGTTGGGAACCGCTGACCTACAGCATTTGAAGGCAATTATTGTGGCTCATTTTCTTTGAATGTAGGTCTGCCTCCATTTCTAATGATCCCAAGTACCTTTTCCTCACAGCAGTTAAATAGATGGGGGAAGATTGAAAATGCTCTTGGTTCTTTCCACGGATCTAACTGAGGTCTTGGCTTAGTCCTGTATTGCATGGGCTGAAGTTTCCTACCCACAGCATTAACCAGTTTGTTCGGTGTGGCTGGTTTGCAGCTGGTTACTGATTGCCAGCTAGGAGGCATGGAGGGAACTGCAGCTTGTCTCTGTCACCAAAGATAAGCATTTAGCTGGCGTTAAAGCCCTTGGCGTTACAGGTCAGTTTATCCAATAAAATGCTTTTGCACGAGTGCTACTGCACTTTCCTGAAGTTTTAAAAAAGCTTTCTTTCCTAGACGTTTCTAAAAATAGACTCCTTTCATTCTTAGTTTGATGCTGTCTGCAGCTTGGCTATTGCCAATGCTTACAATAGAAAAAAAAACTACCCGTTTAGGACTGTACTTGTTTGTGAGGGAGTTATTTAATATTTTCACACGGGGATGTGATTCTGTAGAACGGGTGGGGAATGTCCTGCCTGAGGACCGTATAAGGCCCAAGAAATCATTGGGTCTGGCCCTGCCAAGGCCTTGGGGGTGAGTTAGTGTTTGACTATAACAGGCTAATTTTGGAGTTGACAAGTTTGTATGGCCCTCGAATGATGTTATAAATATCCAAATGGGCCTTGGCAGGAAATAGGTTCCCCACCCCTGCTGTAGGACAACCCCTGTAAATTCACACGATCTAGGTTTTATTGAAATTACTTCGGGGAAAGGCAAGGGTGTTGGGTGAGGGGTGGGTGACTCCCATTCAACTTACAGTGCTGAGGCGGGTAACGAAGACAAGTAGGAGGTGGGTCGTTTAGAGGGGAAGGCAGGTGTGTTCACGTTAACTGCAGAAGGTTGCTTTGCATTCGTAGAATTGCAATACTGTATGAAGTCTGACAGCTCAGTGCCAAGAGGACCGACTCCATTTGTCTGCTTAGCCTCAAAGTCTCCTGTAAGCATCTCCCTCAGAGAGGCCTAGCCTGATCACTGGATGTCAATTGTGGTAACACCCATCACACCTTGTAGATATTAATTTTGTACTGTATCCCTCCCCCCCCGCCCCCACTGCCGCCAGCTGATTGGCCCACTGAGCACCCGGCCCTGTCTTTAGCGCTGTCCTCCAGCTCCTAACGCATGCCTGGTGCACACTGGAGGCTCAGATATGTTCAAGGACTGGAGTAGTTTAATTCCTATGAATTCATCTAGAATAAAATGTGCTGCGAGTGTATGTTGACCGTCTGTTTCTTTCCTGGTCTGTCTTGTGTTGGTTCAACATACCACCCAACATCTGATCATTTCAGTGGCTTTTCAAAATATGCCCATTGTCTCTTCCTATTGGGAAGCTGAGCAGAAAGAAAACAATGTCTGTTTTCAGAGCTGGCACTGGCAGTGACACTGACTGATGCCTGTCCCTGCCCATGGGTGGAGCAGTGGGGTGACTCTGCTCCCAGCTTCTCATTGGCCATCCTTCACCCCTCTTCTCCTGGGAAGTCAAGTATGGATTTTGTCTGCTAGTTACCTTTAGCCCAGTGGGCAGCAGCACAGGACTCGGCATGTGACTAATGCCCCGATAGACCTTGGCAGGCGGGTAAGCATGAGGCTGAGCTCCTCCGCCCGGCCCCACCCCCACCCCGCCGCCTTTTCTGTCTCTGCAGTGGTGTGTCACCTGCACTCAGCTGTTGGTGGCACAGATGGTGAGTGGTTTTGTAAGTACTGGTGTTTTCTCTCCAGAATTCTGACCTGAAGAAATTTGCTTATCTGTTCATTCTCTGTTGTCATGTCAGAGCTTGAAATTTCCAGTGTGTGTGTGTGTGTGTGTGTGTACGTGTGTGTACATACGTGTGTGTACATATGTGCTTACACCTACACAGAGCTGTTGTAGCACAAGATTGCATGAGCTGAACAGATACATTCTATTGGCCCCTGTAGTATCAGTGGCCAGTGAAAACACTTGATTTGCTGCTACGCTGTAAAGAAAAGAATGCAGTGGTACAGACTGAAATTAAAAGAGGACTTCTATATTTGAAAAAGGAGGATTATTTTCAGTCTGTTTAAAAGAACATATAACAAGTAGCTCACAGATACCTGAACTTCGAGCCAAATGAACACTTAGTGGACTGCCAGGAAATTTTCGAGAAAACTCTTTCAGGTCATTTACTGTTATTACCTTTCCTTTACTGCCAAACATACTGCAGAGCAGTAATTCATCAATAACTTTCTAATGAGAATTATTCTTCTATACTACCTGTACTTCACATTTTTTATACTGATGTATATGTAAATTATCTATAACATGCAATTTGGGGCTTTAATATGCTTTGAGTTATTCATCTAATTTTGGCTTCTAAATTTTGTTTGTAAACTTTTATTACCTCTGTACCTTACTGTTCTGCACAAAGGACTAACCACAGAGTATTGGTAGAGGAAATAATGATGCATCCCATTCATTGAGCACTTTCTGGTGCCTCGTATCATTCTAAGTTCTATGTGAATTATTTAGTCCTTATAAAAGCCCTCCGAGGTAGGTTACTATTTTCCATCTCCATTTCTACATGAGGAAACTGAGGCGCAGAGAGGTGAAGTCATTCGTCCCAAATCACACAGCTAATGAGCGGGGGAGGCAGGATTTGGTTCTGGAATCTGGGACCTTAAATACTATTCTATATGTTTTCTCCAATACTACGTTATAATCTCTCTCCACGTGTGTGGTGGTTGGTGTATAGTTTATGCACACTGGTTTGCTATGTTTTAGCCATACTACGCGTTGAGGAATATAAAGGAAATTATCTTATCAGAATAGCCAGCCATCGTTTCCCATGCACCTACTTCTGCTGTTGCTTTCATGGTGCAGAGGAGGGGGAGGGGAGACACACATTGACATTGGATGGGTCTGTTGATCAGTTGGGAGCTGCTTGTGGGAAAAGTGAAAACCGACGGCCCTGGGTGGTTTGGGCGTGTTTGTGCCTCTTCACTCTGTCCATTTGCTGTGCTGGTGGCAGTTGGCTCTGTGTGATGAGGTGGAGGAGAACAGAGGATACTGTCGGGGAAGAAGATGGTAACTTATGCCACTTAGCTGAGTATTTTGTGGCAGGAATTCTCTGTGTGTAAACATTTTTAAATGTGATTAATGAAAACTTGATACAGGCTGATAGAAGTAAAATGCTTCCTAACGGGATCTTTACAAAACCGGAATCACGCAGCCAGGAGAAGACCTGGGCCGTGAGGCTGGGGCCGTCGGGTCCGGTGTTGGCTCTGGGATCTGCAGGAGTCCTCCCTGGAATGAACATGGCGTTTTTCTCTCCCAACAGAAGTCAGCGTAGGGCACCACCGGCACGGGATGATGCAGGCCCACGAGCTGTTCCGGTATTTTCGGATGCCAGAGCTGGCTGACTTCCGACAGTACGTTCGCACGCTTCCCACCAACACGCTCATGGGCTTCGGCGCGTTCGCTGCACTCACCACTTTCTGGTACGCCACGCGGCCCAGGGCCCTGAAGCCGCCATGTGACCTCGCCATGCAGTCGGTGGAGGTGGCGGTAAGTGGACGGCTGACCTGCCTGTGGGTTTCCCCTGCCTTTTCCCAGACGAGCCACGCCCGTCAGACGTGATTGCTTGCGGGGCACTTTGTAAGGGAAGATGGACCCAACAAACAGAAGTTTGCCGATGATTGTAAATGGAGGTGGAGGCCAGAGTGTCGGGCACAAGGACAGATGAGGTGGTGTTGGCTGGGGGTCTGCCCATCCTCACGCAGGGGCTCATTCCAGAGTCCCCGAGCCTCTCCCCTGCGCTGGCACTGCGGTCGCCCCAAGATTCTGCGAAAGGAGGGACAGGCTGAGCCGCAGCCCTCTCCAGGCCTTATGTTCCAGCAGAGAAGAGGGTTGTCAAACGCATGTCAAACCGAAGGATTTCGCTTGTGCTGTATCTGAAAGTTAGAACACATCCCCCAGCCATTGAAAGGGACTCTGAGATTTCAAATAGAACTTGCCAGAATAACGCGGCCACAGAGCTACGACAGGACACTCGGGGGGCGCCTGGGGTTGCGCTGCTGAGTGCCATGGCTGCATATCCCTCAGGCAACGGGAGGTCATGCTGTCATTGTTAGGAAAATACACCGGAGCAGAGCGTGCACTCGTAATGCAATGCGGGCTGAATGGTGGGATGGCCGAGGAAATCGAAATGCCTCCCCCGTCCTGCCCAGGCTCTGCTCCTGCCTCCGCCTCTGAACCTTCCCCTGGTCAGTAGAAACGTGAGGGGACAGGAGCCGTGTGCTCAGCGGGTGACTCTTGCCCTGCTCTCTGCGCTGTCCTCCTTCCTTTCCTGCCCCACTCCGAGTGCATTTCCAGTGCGCGTTGCTTTCGACTTATATGAAAAACAGTGTTGTAAAACGCCAATTGCCTCACTCCTGCTCTCAGATGTAGGTGAAAGGCCTCCCTCCCGGCGGGCAGGCATGTGGGGGAGGGAGCGTGTGCCCTTCTAAATATAGCTTCTTGGTACTTAGAAGATTTTAGTTCTTTTAGACAATCTCTTGGATTCATTAATGTGAAACTCCTAAAAGGTATAAAAGATACGCCAGTTTTATTCATGTCAAAATGTAAAAATAGAAGGAGTGAACTGCTGAGGAAAGATGGCTTTAAGATACTTTAGGTCAGCTTCATATTTCACCTCAGCTAATCACCTACCAATGATGAGTAGAATCTAGTATTTTCTAACAGGTACGAGTGAGGGTTGGGGAATTCTTTCTCTCCCGGCAGAGGACCTGATGTCTCCTAACAGCGTTGCCCTCACTATGAGAAGAGGACTTGGCAAGTGCAGATTTAAGATGTTTATAATTTAGCCCGGCTGGCATGGCTCAGTGGCTGAGCGTTGACCTACAAACCAGGAGGTCAAGGTTAATTCCCGGTCAGGGCACATGCCTGGGGTGTGGGCTCGATCCCCAGTGGGGGGCGTGCAGGAGGCAGCCCATCAATGATTTTCTCTCATCATTGATGTTTCTATCTTTCTCTCCCTCTCGTTTTCTCTCTGAAATCAATAAAAATATTTTTTTTTAAAAAAGATGTTTATAATTTAGCAGTAACTGTAAAAAGTGCCTAATTCTTATTTCTTGTATGAGAAATTGTGGAGGCACTTACAATGTGATTTTTAAGTTCCAGCTTAGCATGAAGTCACTGAGTCTTACTAAAGTACTCATACATTTTCTCCGTAGACCAGTTTAAAACTACAGATAAGCACAAAGAAAATTAGAATCTGTAATTTCACTACCTGGCATATAGGCTTCCTGATTTTTCTTAGAAATGGATTTAGCTCAGATTTTCAGAATTTGTAGGTCTTGGGTTTACAAAATTTGCTTTGCATTTCTAAAAGAAGATCTTAAAATTTTGGATTTGAGACTAGCCTTGGGTGATACTTCGTAGTTATAAATGCTTGTCTAGAGCGCACTCATCATACGGACTTCTGTGGCAGAAAGAGGAACTTAATTCATTCCATTAAGTATTAATCAGGAGCTTGTGTATCTGGCAGGGGCTGGTCGCCCGATGAAAATGTTGTTGCTTCGCTCCTACTTGGAAAACAAGCGAGCACCCTGTGCCAGTCCCCACGCTCACCCCCCCTTCCCATTTCACATACGCGGTTTTCACCCTCCTCTCCCCATAAACTCTACTGGATATGAAAATGAGGAGAATCTGCTCTTTTTGGTTTGGCTGCATCTCATCCCTGCCCACACTGGCTGTTTCTCAGCTACACTCTTTTAAAGCCGCAGCACTGAGGTCTTTTATAAGTCACAGCTTGAGAAATTTCCTTTCACAAATCTGGCTTGTAAAGAGGACGTTAGCGCTCACGCTCTGCACCTGTGCAGGAAGGCGATAAAGACGTAAACTGTAGAATGAACAGGGAAGCGGGTGCTAGCAACAGAATCCAGTGTCTATTTTTTTTTAATAGATTTTTATTGATTTCAGAGAGGAAGGGAGAGGGAGAGAGAGAAACATCAATGATGAGAGAGAATCATTGATCGGCTGCCTCCTGCACACCCCCCACTGGGGATGTAGCCCGCAACCCGGATATGTGCCCTGATTGGGAATCAAATCATGACCTCCTGGTTCCTAGGTCAACACTCAGCCACTGAGCCACACCAGCCGGGCAACCCAATGTCTTTTTTAAATTTGTGAGCGTGGTCTGCTCAGCATCCTGTTTGGAGAGCTGTGTCCCTCCGCCTACACCGGCAGCTCCCCAGCCTGCAGCAGGGAGGCGAGGGCCGGCCTTTCCCCGGGTCAGGGAAGGAGTCCGTCTTGCGAAGGGAGTTTGCTACTGCTGCTCCATGACTTTGAGCAGACGCTAGAAGCAAAGTTTTATACTTGTGTCTGTCTGTTTTCCCCCCAATCACTTTCCCAAGGGATCATGGGAATTTCCCAGTTTCCGCTGGTCTCAGTCTGTTCTCTGGGATTGTGGTCCCCAGGCCCCCCAGTGAAGATGATCTTCACTGGAGTGACTGGAAACCATGAGGGACTGGTCAGGGCACAGCCCACGGTGGCTGCAGTAGGGACATAGGAGAGCATGTTGGAGCTGGAAGGGACCAGGGGCAGAAAGATGTGGCCGAGGCCGGACCGCTGCTCTGCTGGGACCAGGCAGCCTTGGGCAAGTGCTCCCGCCTTTCCTGACCTTCAGGTTCCTCATCTGGGAGTCGGGGTGCCAGTGCCTTCCCTCCAGCACGTTGGTAAGAGGACCGTGTGGAGATACGCAGAGGGTTTCCCTGGCCCCCAGTAAGTGTTCAGTAAATGCCAGTTTCTTCTGTAAAGGTCTCCTCATTCAGCCCTCATATTGTGCACATGAGAAAACAACCGTCCAAGGAGGTGGAGTTGTACCAGCCAGTCCGTGGCAGGTGCACAGCTCAGTCGTGCTGCCTTCGTTACAGTAAAGTTATGTATTGTACCTGTGGCTGGAGGAGGCGATAACTAAGGACAAGAAGGAAAATTTGGGTCTTTCTAGATAAATTTGAAGGGTCAGTGGCTAGAGCTCTTGATCCTAGGAGCAGGCTCTTCTGAAAATGGATCTGAAGGTGGTGATGGAAATGAGAGGAGGAAGGGGGGGCAGGTTAGGTCAGAAATGGGGTCTGGGATTCTGCACACAGTGGGACATCCATCAGAAACTGTCAGGAATGGGAGTGAGGACGGGGAGGACACAGCTGTCCAACCTGGGCGCAGCAGCCAGAGCTGATCCCGCGAGCTTCTGCCTTCTCCTCATCCTACACCCTCAACAAGGCGGGCTGGGAACCGGGGGACTGGAGAGAGGGTATTTAGAGGGGGTTTTTGCTTAGATGTGTTATTCTGGGAGTGTGCAGCCATCAGCACTTTTTGCACCTTTTCTAAAACCTTGGGCTTTTTAATAACTATGAAAACCTGGCTAACTTACTTTTTCTTCATAAACTCACATTATAGGAAACAACTGGGCTTCCACATGTTGTTGGACTTGTCCACTAACTTTAAAGCGACTAGTGTTTTCGAATGAGATAGTAGAGGGTTCGCTGATCATGGGAAGCGGCCTTGGGTAGATGGGCTATGAGGGGAGGGGTGGGCAGTACAGGGAACTGGGGGAGGAGTTTCTGAGCTGGGTGCCATGACCAGGCCACAGAAGTACCAAGTAGCTGCCTTCAGGAATTCCAAGCAGGGAAGGGGATTGTTTTAGAAAAAAACATCCTGGGTTCCTTTTACCGGGAAGAAAAGCCCCAGGTCACTGTATGGGAATACGGTGACGCGGGTCTGAAAGCACATGTCATTCTGTAGAAATGATGCCACTTCCCGGCTTCGTCCAGCAGGGAGCATGTGGGCCGTAATGTGGGCTGGAAGGCTGGTTTGTTTTTTTGTTAATCCTCCCTCCTCCCCCCCCCATATATTTTTCCATTGATTTTTAGAGAGAGTAAAAGAGAGAGAAGCATCGATGTGAGAGAAACATATCGATTGGTTGCCTCCACGAGCCCTGGCCAGGGCCAAGGTTGGGGAGGAGCCTGCAGCCAAGTACATGCCCTTGACCGGAATTGAACCTGGGACCCTTCAGTCCACA